TATTATTATTATTATTATTATTATTATTATTATTATTATTATTATTATTATTATTATTATTATTATTATTATTAATGGTGAAAATTGGATTCAAAAGTTAAAAATAAAAAGTAATATTGAAAAAAAAGAAGGGATTTTTTCTTCTTTCTTAAATATGTATGGATGGCAAGAATTCGTGATGGATAAAATTATGATAACAACAACAAATAAAATAATATTTGAACGACCTCGAAACGATGACGAAATGCTATACTTGAAAGAGAGCTATTTTGTAAGAGAAAAAAATGGATGCTATTTAAATATCTAACAATCATTCTGCTGAGAAATCAGAAATAAAAAAAAAATGAAAAGAAAAAAGGCAATGAAATGAAAAGCATAATAAGGGTAATGTGTAATAGGGCAGTTTCAATTTCTCAAAAATTTCCACTTATTTTTTGAAAAAAATTTGAAGAAAGTTTTCCAATAGAGGTTTCTTTCCTTCTAAAACTTCAGTTGAATTAATAACAGGTTTCAAAGAAATTCCATTTTAATTCAATGTAATATCGAAAAAGAAGCGCATTTCATTTGATACAGAGTAGTTCATCAAAATCCCCAATAGCTAGAGTTCTATTGAAGGTAAATTAAAATTATCAATTGATAAAGTTTGGACAGATCAATGAATTTTCTCGTTAATTCAAATTTAACAAATCTTCCGGTTTCATCGGCTGGCTGTTATCACCTTAAGTTGACATTAAAAACGAAATAAGCAAAAAAGTACAGGTGATTCATATTAACTGATATATCATTATTGAAATTACTGCAACAACAGCGAATTATTATTTATCTTTTGAGTGATTTTAAAGTTAATTTTTTGGGGTTTTAAATTTAAAATTGATTGTTTTTTCGAGTGATTGATTGTTTTTATAATAATACAAGCGTAAAGATAATAGGAAATGATTCATAAGACAAATAGGATAAACAGATTTAACCCTTATTGTCTTCCGAAACTTTCATTAATCTATCATATCAGTATCATCGAGAATACCGTAGCAAAGATGGTGGATTGGATTAAGTAGAAATGAAGAAGCATTTTACATAAATTTGACTGATTAAATTGTACTAAAATAAAAATAATAAAGAACTGTTTAATATTTTGACTCATTTTCAATATGAAACGAAAATATGATGAACATATTATCAATCGATATCTTCTCTTATCTTCTTCAATACTGAAAACACTCTTTCTCGTTCTTATCATTATCATTACTGTTATGATGAAATTGTGACGCAATTATTTTAAACTTTAAATAATTATTATGTTCGTAAGATTTTAAGTGAGCTATTTTATACCATTATCTTTGGCAGTATAATGCAATCAATGATAAAATATAGAAATATTGATTAGTTCGTTTTGCTTCAAATTTATTATCATTTCAAACATGTAATCATTACTGTGTTATCATTACATTTCTTCCCTTCAGGGATCATTAGCAACAGATAACAGCAAAGGATTTGCAATTTTTTTTCCTTTTTAAAAAACTTTTTTTTTTAAAAAATAAAAGAGAAAGGAATACCTTTTTATGAATTGGATTCAAAACTCATTTACGAGTTAATTAATTACGGGGGAAAAAGGAAAAAGAAATATCAAGGAACATTGTATCATCGATTGTTGTAAAATCAAAATTTAATAGTATTGTTAAATAATCTAAATGAAGTGATAATGCTTGCAGAGGAGGAATTTCTAACATTCTATTCACTCCATTATCATTATCATTATGATCATTACCATTATTATTATTATTGTTGTCATTATTATCATCATCAACATTATTATCATCATTGTTACCATCGTCATTATTACCATTATCATTACTGTCATCATTAATGCTATCATTATCAACATTAGTACTAGTAATCATCATAATCATTATCAGCAACAGATAGAATGGATAAACCGGAATGTAAGACTCAATTTTCCGAAGCAGTTTATTTATTCCCACTAATGATTCAAACTTTGTTTTTTCTCCTCCCTCTCTCTTCCTCTCTCTTTCCCTCTCTCTCTTTCTTTCTCTCTCTCTCTCTCTCTCTCTCTGTTTCTTCTTTCCTATCGTAAATCATTCATTTTCAGTGCACTACTTTGTAGTGTTGTAAACAAACAAACAAACAAGCTCATCTACACATTCTTTGTTTTTTTTAAGTTTTTTTGGAATGCCTAACGATAACACCAAATAATATAACAAAACGAGATTGAAAGATTATATCAGTAAGGAAGTATGTGACAGATAGGTAAGAACTTGGTAACAAATAGGTAGGAAGTCAACCAAAAGCTTTTCTCTCCTCCCACTTATCGAATTATGAATTCTAACGACGCTCAATGCGCTTATGTATATATGTGTGTATGTATGTATGTGTGTCTGTGAGTGTGTGTCTGTGTGTGTATGTGTATGTGTGTGTCTGTGTGTGTATCTACATGTCTGTATGTAAATGTGTGTATACATTTTAACAAATGGAACGGTGTTTTTTTAAAGGAAGTATTTCTAGGAATCGTCAGTAACTGCACTTTTCCCTCCATCCGAAGTTTTTAGAAAAAAAAGAAAGAAAACGATAGCTGTATGTCAATGCATGTGTATGTTTGTATGTGACAGACTTTCCTCTATGTATATATATATATATGTATGTGATGTATGTGATGAACCTAATGCAAAAGATGTATGCATGTATGATAAATGGAATTTGATTTCAATTGAGACCATAATGTGAAAGTGAAAAAAGATAGAATTGAGAATGATATGAAGCAATGAGTTTTTTTCCTCGTTTCCCCGCCTTTCCTTCCTTTTCCTCCGCTTTTCTCTCCCCCGCCCTCCGCTTTTCTCTCCCCCGCCCTCCACTTTTCTTTCCCCCGCCCTCCGCGTTTTCTTCTACCCCGTCCTTTTACTTATCTTGAAACGAAAAGTTTTTCTGCTTCTGTTTCTCTTTTTACCAGTTCTCTTTTTTTAATTTACTTCCTAATTAATAATTAAACAGGTGATAAAAATTTTCATTGATGACAAGAAAAGAAATAATTTAGTTTTAGGATTAATGAAACAAAGCGTTAAGGCTATAAGCATATTTGTGATGAGAAAAAAAAAACTGTCGACGACTGCATAACCTCAGAAGAGGAATTGAAATGGAATGATTGTGTAAGTATTAATCAATCAATCCACTGGGATAGATTGATCTTTTGATTAAGAACCAAATGAGGTGGTAGAAAAGGAAAAAGCGATGGTAAAAGGGAAGGCCTGAAATAGAAAAAATGAGGTAGAAAATCAGGCAAAAACGTGCAATTCAATAAATGAATTTTAAGACTACGGTAGGGTTAGAAATGGCTTTTTTTAAAAACTTGAATCAATGAAATTTTTCTTTTCTGCTCCCTTTTTTTCTTTTTCTTTGGTTATTCACTTAATTTCGAGCAATGATCAGAAATTCAAAAATAAAAAATAAAAAATAAATGGGAAAAAATGAGAGAAAGTTGAATATAAAAGAAAGGAAGAAAGAAAGAAAGTACGAAGCTGTCAGTGTTATGTTAGAATTAATTAATTATACTCCTTAAAACTTGAAAAAAAATTTCAAAAAAACTTAATTAATTAGTTACACTTCTTAAAATTTGGAAAAAAATTCAAATTGAAGAGTTTTTTTTGCAACTTATTCTAAAATGGATGAATCGTTTTTATTTCCCTAAATACATTGCGAAAAGAAAAAAGGAAGGAAAGAAGAATGATTAGGATTCAACAGTTGATAATAAGCATGCATCATATGCAAGGTAATACAGAGAGGAGGAATTTAAATTGAGTTCTTGATTGAAATTAATTTTTATGATCAATCTTGAAAAAGGTAGCAATGAGCGGGAATCAACATAATCATCAATCGTTTACTAATTAACTCACAATTACGAAGAATTCCATATTCAGGGAGGACTAATTGCATTTTCCAATCCCGATCCCGATTGATTCCGACCCTGATCACGGGGAATTCTTACGTGACACATTCATTTGGAGAATGCACCAATGATAACAATTTGATGATATCATAATTAATCTAAAAACTAATCAAATTTTGGAATTAAAAATAAATGAAAATCGATTAAAAGAGAAGAAAGAAAAGGATGGAATACATTCAATATATACGAACATATTTGGTTGGTTTTGCTTAGTTAGTATCATTTGATAAAATAGAAATATGAACATGATGCTAACAACATAGATGCTAATAAGATGATGAGAAGAAGACGAGAAAGATAGGAGAGAGATAGGATGGTAAAACTGATATGAAATGGAGATGATAGAGGACGAGGACGAGGAATGGGTATTGGAGCCATGAACATGTTGGCACTATTATTCATTATCAGCCATTCCGAACGACATTGTGGAACAATCCAAAGAACAAAGTGCCATACCATTGATGGCCGTTGCAAATTAACGAATGAATGTAAAAAAGATGCATCACATTCGAAAATGGTTCGTTCATTTAGTATGTAAATGAATATTGATATGAATATATCGATGTATATCAGGAATTCAGGATATTATTCATTTTGTATATCAGGAAATCAGGAAATTATTTATTTTGTATATCAGAAATTCGAAATATTTATATGTTAGGTATTCAGAATATTTTGTATATCAGAATAGAGCAACAGAAAACGGTTCATTTGGATAAACAGAAATAATGTAAGTATAAATATATCGATGTATATGCATATCAGGAATCTAAGGATATTACTGATTATCCATCATTTCGAGTTATTCTTTCTTTTTTGTTAAAAAAAAAATTATCCCTTCTGCTCTTTTACTATCCGGAAAATTTACAGTTTATAAGTAAATGATACGAAATTTTTGTAGAGGAATGGATAAAAATTAGGAATAATTTTAATAAATGATTAAATTAATAAGCTTACTGAGATGAAGATGCAATTTGGATTCAAAGAAGATCAATATTAATGATAGAAAGAGGAAAAGAGAATTTTGTTTGTCTATACATTTCCTTCATTTTATATTAATACCGTCTATCAATTAGTAACGTCAATTAATATTGAATATTAATTAGTATTTATTATTTCAGACATCAATTATCGGTCAATTTTCCACCAACCATTCGGAATCATTAGAATGATAAATATTAATTTATAATAAAATAAGATATTAATTATGATTGATATTAAGGGAAAGATGATAATTTACTTTAACTCCTTAATATTTTCATTTTTTAGATGCAAAAAAAAGCTGTTTATTTTCTTCTCTTAACTTATCAATCATTATTATCATTATTATTATTATGACTGCTTCACTATAGCTGATATCGTTATCTTATGCTGGTAACTATTACACATCATCTTACACTGTTAGCGATATTGATAAACGGATAAGAAATAACAGTGGTAAGTATTAAAATAAAGCTATACGTCTTAAACGTGATAACATAGTTATGAATCAATCAACCAGGAATTTAAGCCTAAAAATTTCGAATTTTTTCAAACTAATTGTATGATACTTTATGAATTATTAATAAAAATTGAACAGTTAGTTTTTGAAAGAAAGCAAAATACTCTCATAACTGGAAATTAATTATATGAAAAAGGAAACTACAACATTACTCAATATGTTTGATTGATGTGAATAAAAGTTCATCTCTTCTTTAACTTACTTTATGTACATGTGACAAGTAAACTTTACATCTATGGATGAAAATAACAAAATAAATGTGTAATAGATAAGATAGAACAAGCTGAAAATGATTACTATTATATATAAAAGGTAAAAAATGCAGGTAAGCTAAACAACAAAAATAAATATTATAAGAGCGATGCAATCAGGAAATATTTGTCACCCAATGATTTTACTCCATAAAAAATGTCCTTTTCCATTCTTTTTTAACGGAGTTGAGCGGAGGTAGAGAGAAGGATGCGGGGGGATTAAAGAGTAAAACTGGTCCATCGAAATAAAGTAACTTTTTTTTTTGTTTTTCCAGTTCATTGGACAAAAATTCATCACAAATGCACAAAACACACATTTACAGATATTGGTGACACATACACACACACACACACACCACACATACACGCACATGCACACACACACATACACACGCACGTGCACACATACGCACGTGCACACATACGCAGACATGCACACAACACACACACATACACACACACATACACACAGACATACATACACACATATATATAAGAATGGAAAAATTGTTAAGTTTATTTCGATTTTGTTTATTTGAACTAAGTGTTTTTCTATCTTCTTTTTTTTTATCCAAATATTTACACTTTTTGTTAAGACAAACAGTGCAAAATAATGATGATAAAGACGAAAAGGGAGAGAGAGAGATTTAAAAACTAAAGAGAGAAAGAGAAAAAACATTATGAAGTTAAATTTAGATTGATGAATTAAACAAGCTAATGATAAATAGTATTTTGAAATTTCAAATGAAATAAGATATGAGAGTTGAATGAAAATTTAAAGGAAAAAGAAAAACCAAAACAAGACGGATTTGCGTAAGCAAAAAGACATTGTGATGGATAGGGAAAGAACGAATGCTTTTTGCAACTTATAATCAATAAATATTTTAATTTACTTTGCATAATTTATTATTGCTTTATCTAATTTAATTATCAAATTATCTTATAACCTGATATATGTAGATAGAACTAATTCTAATTGTCTTATAATCTGAAATTAATTCAACATGCAATTAAATTGGGTACATTGAAGAAGAATCAATCGGTCTATACGAATGTTGGTAGCTCTATCACGCTTCATTTTTATGAATTTCACGAAATCGTTGGAATTCACCATATTCTATCCTTGATATATTTATGGACATATCAGAAATTGAGATGAAAAAAATCAGTTAAACCTAAAATTACCATTTCTAGCTTTGATTTATCTTAAAAAAAAGCCAAAAAAGGTCGGTAACAAAATTTTTTCGTCATTTTCAATTCTATCTCAATTTGTTCACTCCTTTATGCAATCAATCCTTTTAATAAAATTTAATCACTTATTTTTTGATATTATTTGCAAAATTGAAACAATTTATATAAGTGTAAGTTCAATGAACTTCTAATAACTGCATTTAAAATTTCAAATATTTCCAATCAATTGTTTATTAAGGAAAAATCCGAAATTTACGAGCAGCAATTATTAATTATTCTATGTTTAATCAAATTTAAAATGAAACCAACCCAAGTGTTCGTTTCTTTTCTCCCAATATTTCTTTTTTCCTAGGGGATTTGTTACTTTAACACGCCAGAAATCACAGGTCACACGGAAGTTAGTAGAATATTTTTTGTTTAATTAAACAACCGAGTCACGATAGGAAACAATAAGCACAATGAATTACATACGTTAATCAAACCATTTTTATTTCATTGAAAACTTTTCGAATTTCAAAATAAGCTGTGAACTTTCATTTATGGATAAATTTAACACAATAAATGAATAAATGAGTGAATGGAATAGGTGATTTGATACACCAGTTATTGCCAATTAGTGCTAATGGATCATTTATGGATCAGCCAATTGCGAATCACATTCACTATAAAGATTCCCGAGGAAAAGCGCAATGTTACCATTATTTCTTGTAATCATGGAAGGGTGAGGAGATAATTAATATAATGAAATCCAATAAGAATTTTTTTCTACAAAATAGAATTATTGCTAATGCCAATCAATCCCGTGTGGCTTGTTAAATTTCAATTGAACTATTAAAGACGAAATTCTAACCAACCAAAAAGTGAAGGCTATTTTCATTCTATTTTCATTTGCTGGATACAAGTAAACTTGAAGTATAATTTTTAGAAAGACTTAAATATAAGCTTCAACCGTGCAAAAAAGAAAAATAGGGAAATAGCAAGCAAACATCTTTCGTTACATTTTTTTTCACCATTCATTTACAATTTAAGAAAGTGACACCAACGACTTTAAATTAAGATATTAAAGAGATCTGAAATTAAGATGCAAGATTTTGGAAGCATTGCAAAGGAATTTTGTATTACAAATAATTTGTGAATAAACGACGTATATATATATATATATATATATATATATATATATATATATATATATATATATATATATA